CTGTCCCAGGAGCTCAGAGGTGGGTGAAAGAGCAGGAGGCACCAGGATGTTATGGCGCAGCCTCCACCCCCCAAGACCCTAACAGTGGGCCAGTGTGTGGGCCGAGTGAGGTGGGGGCCCAGGCGGGGTTGCGTCCCGCTCCATAAACTCTGGCCAGCCAGGAAGCGGCAGACATGGTGGTGTTGACACAGGAGTGAAGTCACCAGCAGCCAATGGGGAGCCTGTTGAGGGCTCTGTGTACACCTCCCTTAGTCCCATGGGCTTCACCACGCACGCGCACAACCTGAATGCCACCTGAATAAACCAGTCTTTCCCAGCCTTTCATGGGGCCCCACTGTTCCCCTAGACCCCATCCCTGGCAGTACTACTCCAAGCCCTCCACCCATGTGAGGTCGGGACACAGTGTAGCGTGGGGGCTCAGATGCATGTTCTGAGCCCATTCTTTCTCAGACGCATGGCCCCCAGAGTCTGACACCAGGTACCATAATCCTACCAGTCACTTTCTCGTCTTTTGTGACCCTACCTAGTCAGCACTGCACCCCATGAGCACGCCTGGGAGTCACCGTCTTCCATGTCTCCCCTGGCCTGGGCCTGGAGCCTGGAGGCCTGGCCTGATGTGTGCCCCCAGTGTTTGCTCGGCACTCAGGCCCCTCGCCATCCTTCCTTTCATTTCTCCCCCTAGAAAGACTGGAGTCCAGGTTTTCTCATCTAACCCCTTCTCCCAGATGGGGTGCCCACAAGGCCCTGACTCTGACTCTTCAGAACTCTGTACTGCCTTTTCCCCTGGCTCAAGGCGAAGTTTTTCTTTTTACCAAGCCCCGTCTCCTCTTCCTTAAGGAGATGCCTCTCTCCTGAGACCCCCAGATCCCCGGGACCTCCCATTCAGGCAGAAGATATCTGCAAAACCAGTGGCTCTCCATAGACCTGCTGCCAGCCTCTCTCTCCCTGGTGTCCTGTCCTGGGGGATCTCCCTTTTGCACCTAGAGCTGGTTTGGGGGTTTGGCATGTGCTCATCTCAGAGGTGTCGCACAGAGGTGGGGGTAGGAGCCTCCTGTACTTGGCGCCTGTGCTTGTTTATGGGTCCAGCCCCCGCCTCACACTGCTCCCCGTGGCCCGACTGCCCGCCCGCTGTCTTGCCAGGTGTGGGGTGATGGAGCTGGGCTCCCTAAGGACAAGGAGCACAGTGTCTGCTTTATTTGCAGGCTCGAGCTGACAAGGAACAGAATACCCACAGTGACTGCTTCCAGGAAACGGCTGCGGGCGGGTGGGAGCCTGAGGGAGAGCAGGCCCCTTCCCAGCAAGCCTTTGCAGGTGGGCTTCCAGGAAGGGCCCCCGCCGGCTCCCCTCAGCCCTGGAAAGGGGCCAACAATGTCACCAGGAGAGGGGGGAGGAGGAGAAAGGAGAGGAGGGGAGAGGAGAGGGAAGGAAAGGAAAAGAAAGAGGGTGGGTAGCCCTGCTGAGCCAGCCTGGCTACAACAGCCCGAGGGGAGGCCAGAGCTGACCACAGCTTCTTCCAGAACCTTCTGTTCTCCTTTCTGGAGATTCACACAATCTTAGAGAAAGCCCTAGTTCCTCATGGCACACACACACACACACACCCATGAACGCACATATGCGCGCACATGCACATAAGTCATCTGTGTAGAGGCTGGGAACAGTCTGGAAAGGGACAGCCTTCGAGCCCAGCTTCTGGTTCTGGTTAGGTACTGGTCTGCATGGTTGAAGAGGACAACATAAATCTCTAGACTGGACTCCCAACCTTCTGTCTTCTCTGTGCAGTTTGCTAGGGAGAGGTCAGCCTCTGCAGCTCCACGCCATGTGTGCGATTCTGCAGGGTGTGTACTGCAGTCAGACCTGAAGCTTTCCCTGCCCCCCTCCCGGGGCCTAAGAGGCCTCCTTCCCTGCACAGTATTGGAATGTTCTCTACTCAGTGGGATAGCAAATATTCTGACTGCTGTCCCTCCCCCATGTCCATGATTCCTGCCTGAAACGCGCTCTTGGGTTACTCAGTTCAACCTGAGACATGAAACCACAGACGCCCAACACAGTCAGACGCAAGGGTGTACTTTCCTGGAGACACTGTTCCCACACGGGGCCTCGACCACATACACCCCCACAGAAAATCCTGAAAAAGGCCAGGACCTCAGCCTCAGCACCAGCCCCTGGCCAACTGGTCAGCACGGAGATCCTACCACACAGTCCGGGGTAGAGGTGAGGCCACGTGGCCCTCCTCAGACACACAGACATACGAACCCACACGCAGCACATGGGTCTCCAGGGACAAACCCTGAGTTATTACCGTGGCCACGCCACCAGATAAGGACTCTCTAATGAGCGACTCCGCTCTTTGTCCAAACTAAACTTGTCACTGAAACATAGCTGGGGAGGGGGTTGGGTGTGTGAGGACCCCTGTGGTTCTGTGCCTGCAGGGTGGGGGTTGTGCGGGGGACCCTGGGCCCCATGAAGATTTGAGACGTCTCCTCCTCCCAGGCTGTGCAGTGCCGAGCAGCCGGCCCCTCCCCACCCTCCCCACTACCCACCCTGGCTGGGGTTTGGGGATGAAATTCAAGCCCCTGTTAGCTTCTCAGCACGGGGGTGGGGTGGGGTGGGGTGGGGAGTGGGGGGTGGGGGGTGGGGGTGGGTGGGTTGAAAGTGCCTTTGGGTGGCAGGCTTGGAGCCTGTCTAGCAGCCCTCTTTAAGCCCCTTTTCTAAAAAGCAGGAAATCGGGTTGGGCTAAAGGTAAACACATTCCAAACTGTGGGCTGATGGAGGGGCTGTGCTGGCTGGGGGTGTGGGGGGCTGGGCCACTTCTGTTTTCCCAGCCCCCACCCCGGGGCGAGGCTCTTGAGGCCCACGACTCACAGGCACACCTGTTTGCAGAGCTACGGTGATTTGGGGGCCTGCACCTTGAGGTCCTGTCCCCCCCCACATCCCCTGTCCATCCAGTTCTCTGGGGGGGGGGGGGCTCCTGGCTCTCGACGTCGGCTTCAGAACCCTCTGCATTAAATATAAGAGCTGTGGATTAAGCCAGAGTAGACCACGGCCCATGCCATCCTCACCATCTGTGACATTGACAGGAGCGGCGGGTACTTGGAGGCATCTGCCACGGACTGGTGAGGGAGAGGAAGGGACAGTTTCTCCCTTGCCACACTGGCACCCTCATTTCCTCAAATTTGTCTCAGTGTCTTCTGGGTAGAACTCCAGAATGGTGGTGTGTGATTCCAGCACCCTACACCTCCAAGTCTGGGTACGACTCAGTTTTAGTATTGCCAGGCTTTCCAGGTGACCAGGAAAGCATGGCACGGAGGAGGCAGCTCATGTCATTCCTGAACCCCCTTTCTGCCCACCGATTCTATTTCTGTGTCTCTAGGCAGACTCTGGGCCTTCTTGGGTTCCCTTGCCCCAGTCCTCAACATTCGTCTCCTGGGCTCCCTGCAGTGCCTGCTAGCTGTTCCAGCCAACGTCTCTTGGAAGGAAGCTTTTTATTTTCCGAGCCTGGCTTTTGTAGGGTTGGAAGGTAGAGAGGTAAAGGCTGTAGATACCCACCACCCATGACACTGGGGCAAGGCACCTCTTGTGGGGTGGTGAGGAAGATGGACGTGGTCTGACTAGAAGATTTTGAAATCCTCTGTGGAGATGATCAGAGAAACACCCGTATGTAATTGTGTCTAGTGGGTGCCTAACCACCCTGTGCCGCAGTGGTCCCCCTCCCAGAAAATCTGAGGGCCAAATGATACTGTGCAAGAGGGTCCAGAAGAAAGACCAGACATGTGGTGAGGGGGGGGAGGAGCTGGCCCACTGCCCAGAGAGGGTATGGGGTGGAGAGGGTGGGTGTTCCTGACAGTCAGTCCCGTCTGGTCTTTGTCAGCCGGAGGAGATTTTCTTGACTGTTGTAAGCACTGGGACTGGGGGAGGGGGGATGAGGGCCCAGGACCCCAGCCTCATTTTTAAGAGCTGCTCTTCAAGTCCCTTTCCAGTATTTGTACAGGTAAGAGTCTAGGAGTTAGGAGGCTGGTAGGAGGCTCGGAGACAGAGGGATCAGCCCAGCCAGTTGCTGTCCCTGTGAGGACACTAATCACAACCCCATGGGGTGCTCTGCTTGCACCCAAGGACAACCCTCCATCTACCCGTCTTTCCCTCTGACCTCCTAATGTCCTTGAGTATTCACTGTACCCCACGTTTTACACTGCAGTTACCCTCAGACCTGTGCATGTCCTTATTCTCTGTTGTGGCCCTTCAGCTCCTACCCACAGCGGACAGCAAGGGACAATACCACTGCATGCATCTACCTGAGCTCCAGCCTAGAGCTCAGCAGGCTCAGAGCAAGAGAGGCAGGCCCAGAGGCAACCATGCGCCTCTTTATGTGGCCATGGTCTCCCCAGCCTCAAGTATGGCTGCCTACCCCTTAGGAGCCCCACTGCATGTCAGATTCACTTTACAGCCTCCATTATGCTGCAGGGTTTGGGACTAGTGTGAGGATTCAGGGAGTTATCCAGGCAGGACTGAGCAGCAGTGTGGAATCCAGAGGTTTCTGGTTGGGGCCCAGCCATCTCTCTCATTGCTAAGGATGCCCTTCACCTCCCCAGCCCCCTTCTCTTTAGGGAGCCTCTTCAGTCCTGCCTCTGTCTTCACATGGCACTCTGCCATTCTCCACTTGTGATATCTATTCCTCTGCCCATTCCTCAGGGACCCTTTCATATTCACAGGCCCCTCCCATACCATAACTTCTTGGCATTTCATGAGCCCCCCTCCCTCATGGCCCCCATCCCAATGCCCCATTCCGTTTCATAAGCCCCTCCTATCCATTATTTCCCATTCCACCCTAGAGGCCCTCCCCATTTCATAATCTTCTTCTTCATCGTCGTCGTGGGTGTTATACTCCACCCATTTATCCCCCCTCCCTCATTTCTTTCCTCTGCCCCCCAACTCTCCCCAAGTGAGTCGCAGACATCATGATTCAAGTCCCTGAGACCAATGACTGTAACTGTATTTATTGATGAACCCAGGACCTCTGGTGAGGCCCTGGCAGGGAGGGACAAAGGATGAAGTAGGGCATGTTGAACACTTATGATGGAACTGTTTCCAGACTAGGCGAGGGGAAGGCGAGGCCTCAAGCACGCGGCCACACCCAGTCGCCCCCAGACAGAGGTGGATGACAGGCAGGCACTGGGGCGGCATGGCCAAAGGGGCCCGCACATTCGCTGTTTACATTCACACGGAGAGACACAAGGCTGTCTCCGCAACTCCAACCAGTGCAAACGACTTAGTGCAAATTGAATTCAAAGGGGATAGGCGGGGGAAACAGAGTCACGGACGCTTTTGAGTCTCTCAAAGCAAAGAAAAAACAAAAGGAAAGAAACATAAGGTTGCAGGAAAGGACGAAGAAGAAAAAGACAGGAGGGAGATGATAGTGATGGATCCATCCCAGAGCAGAGGCTTGGCTCTGGGATGCTGTGGGTGGTGGTCTCCCAGGCGAGGCAGAGTTGGCCATGAAGATGGAATTTCAGGGGTGGGTGGGTGGGTGCTGTGGGTCTGCCGTTTAAGTGCCGCTACCGTCTGTTCCTTCAGCTTCACCTGAAGAGAGAAAAAAGACAAATGGGTGGGGGCCAGGAGTGGGGAGGACTTGGCAAGTTTCCAGAAGGGTTCCCTGGCTCACCTTCGAGCCGATTCCTGAGGCAGGTAGTGTAGTGGTTCCGAGCACAACATATTCTTGATTCAGAACTAGACGGACTTCCAGGAGTCCCCGGATTCAAAGGCCCAGACATGAGCTGGGTAGCACCATTTCTGTGGAAGGGAGAGAATGAGGCCCCTGGGCTTGGCAGCCTGCCATGCCCCACCCATATGGGGCAAAAGAGTCCTTACCTTTCATCTTGAGGGTTCAAAGTAGGGGGAGGAGGATCCAGAGAGCAGCAGAGATGTGTTAGCTCTTCGGGAAAACTAAAAGAACAGACGGCTTGTATGGTGGCAGTGTCCCACGGCGCCAGCCCATGATGTTCTGTAAAGGACAGAATCTGGTGTGAGTGGGCGGGCAACTAGATGGTAGAGTGTGCTGCCCCATGGCGGGGAGTATAGTATGCTCACCAGGAAGGCTGGATGGCCGTCCTTCTGTCCTCTCCATCACACCGGACCATGTCATGTCTTTCTGTCTGTATTGACCACACCTGCCATCCTGGCCTTTAGTGCCTGGCTGGCACACCCACTTCTGCTGGAGACCTGGCTGTGGGGGGAAAAAAAGGAGACATGAATAAAGTGTACCTGGGTGGGAGGAGACGGGTGACCACAGGCGAGATGGACACTTACCCTAATCTCCAGTCCGAGCTCTCAGAGGCACCGATCACTGCTCCGTCGCCGCCCGCAAGGCCCTCCTTGGCCACGGACTCTGGAGGCCAGTGCCTCGCTGGCTCATCACCCCATTTGCTTTGCCTCTCTCTACCTGCGCCTCAACCTCCCTTCCTAGAAAACTCACTCATTCTGCCCCACCTGCCTCGCCTTGTCTGGCTTCATCCTGTGCCCTTGACTCCCCTGGAAATATTCTGTCTGCCATGCCAGACCCAGGGGCTGAGCGGTTAGGGCATACAGTGCACAAGCGTCCACTGTGGGCCCTTTCCGCGCCAGTCCTTGGGCCGCAGTGCCTCGTGGGAGTGGTGTCTGCAGGCTGGACCCACTGCAGCCTCCTTGCTGTGAAATCCCCTGGAGTCCAACACCTGCAGCCCCCACCCCTCTCCTGGTGACACCCTGCTACGTAGACCTGCGCACTGCCTTTCTTTCCCGCTCTCCGGCCCTCGAATCTCTGGCAAAGGCCTTGGAAGGCCCTGCCAGAGCCACTCTTGAACCTTCTTCTAAATGAATTACGGTGGGTGGGATGTGGTGGCGGCTGGGGACCCATCTGTGTCTTGTGACCCCCGTCCTGCCCTGTTTGACCCCAGCCTGGAATGCTTCTATTCTTGCTGGATCCCATGGCCTCTGCCACTGTCTCCAAGGTCACCTATCACCTCCCTGGAGTCAGCAGCCTCAGTCTTGACTGGCAGCCCTGCGCCCTCTTCTTCCTTCCCTCTAAATGCTCTGTCCACTCCGGGGTGGCCAATGGTCCCCCGGCCTTGTTCTGTCTCGGCTCCCCCCGAGACGATGTCTCCTTTGCTAACTGTCCTGCCTCTCATGTGCCATTCTGCTGGGAGGCCAGCCACTTCTTCTCACCGGCCTCGCTCTCTAAACCTTCTTTTAGAAGGTCAGAGCAGCGAGGCCCAGAGAGAAGAAGGAGACTCACCTGCCCAGCAGACGGCGATCCTCACCTGCCACTGCTGCCAGCTACACCTCCACTGCCAGGTCTGGGGTCGAACCCTTCCCAGCAGCTCCCCTGTATCCGACCAGCCGCCACGTCCTGTAACCAAAAGTGACCGGGATGAATGTCTGGCTCCCCATTCCTCTCACCAACCCTAGTTCAGGCCCTTCAGCGCCACACCGATGTTTTCCAGCCTCTGCGATGCCTGGAAGCCACACCGTGCTCCTCCCTGGCTCCCAGGTCCCGATGCCTTTGCACTGCCTGAGCTAGCCCCTCTGCCCTTCACCACTCCTGCCAGACTCCAGATGCCGAGGTGCTCCTCGGCCCCACAAAACTCCCCTCCAGCACCCCATCTTCCCCAGTTTCCCCATACCCCCCACCCCCCAACCCCCACCCCCCTCCCGCACCCGGTGCTTCGGGCCCCCTAGCCCGGGCTTTTTCTAACTGGAGTGGCCCCGCCCAGAATTCCCGCCCCTACTCTGTCAGCCAATCAGTGCACGGCCCCGCCGGGGGCCCCGCAGGGCCCACCTCCACCCTGGATCGTTCCAGCGCACGTTCGCCTCACCCCACACCCGCACCCGTCCTGAAAATTCTCCAAAGACAGCCTCACCATAACTCCCACTTTGAATCCCTTAGACAGGGCCTGGCATTGTCCCCAAATATCTCCCTTTGGGTCGAGAACTTACAGCCTCCTAGCCCACTGGCGTCCTTCATGGAACCCTGGGCACCTTGCCATGCAGGAGTCGCTCACCACTCAGCTTGTATGGTGACCACGACAGGGGTATGGATGGGGGCAGAGTTCTCATACTGCCGCAGGGCGGCTGAACAGCTACTGGTGGCCAACTCCCAGCCTTTGTCCCCGTCTGCTTGACTGACCTTGTCTTGCCACAGTGGCATCAAACGAGGCAACTAATTTGGGTGCTTCTTACCATCCCCTTCCTGGCCATCAGGTTTACTAGTAGTCTTTGGTGATGAATTCTTTTAGTGACCTCACAGCTTGGCCTCGGTCTCCCCAGCCAACCAGGAGCACAACATTGTCTCCCTATCCTAGCGTGCTACCACTATCAGTGACAGAATGAGGGCAGGAGAGATGCCCAGTCCCTCTGCCACTTGGGGTATATCATTGTTCTTGGCCTCTGTTGAGAGTTCTGGGGCTCTAACCGGTATGGGCAGCACCCACACATCAAAGATATTAGAGTCATCAGAGAGTGGGGCAGCCCTAGATGGAAGGGATTGGAACTCCAGGTGTGAGGAGGGCCCCAGTGCTGACCAGTTATGACAACTCGGCAGATCCTCAGGTTATGTAGGGTGCAATAGCTTCTTGACAGATCCTCAGCCCAGTTGCTGCATGCCAGCTGAGTGCTAATTTCTGGCTCTTTTGTGGGACCCCCCCCATTTTTGCTTTGTGAAAGCTCTGGTCATCTCCATGGGAGGAACCTAGGTTATGATACTAAAAGACACCCCCAATTTGGTCATAAGTAGACCCCACTTCTGTTATCTTGGAGCGATAATATGTGAGTCTGTGCTCTTGCCTCATGGTTGTGGCTTTCTTTACACCTTTTTCTTTTCTTTTTTTTGGGGGGGGGCATGATCGGACACTGGACGGCCAGGTACATTTGTGTGGGTGCTGGCAATCGAAACTGGGTCCTCTGGGATGTCAGTCCGTGCTCTTAACCACTGAGCTATCTGTCTCCCCTCATCTCTACACCCTTAAACAAATGATTCTTTTCGGAGATCGGTATGTAAGATGGAAGAGAATCACCCCAGAAGTCCTTCCATGCTAGGCATAAAAGCCCAAGCAACTCCCATAAGTAGCCCATCCCCGATGAACCTTAAGAACCCTGGCAGGACCAGCAGAACAAAGGCTGAGAGTTGACCACCCGCGGGCAGGCTGTTCATGGGCCAGGCAGCAGTTCTTGCCCCCTCCCCCCGCCCCCCCCCATTGCTTCAAACCAAGCTGAACCCTGACATCTCCTATCCTCTATACAACTCTTCAACTTCTCGCTATGGTTTCTAGGTGACTTGGGACATTGCCATAGTTGAACCCCAACTTCTGCTTTCACCACCATTGGGGTTTCCGTGTGTGATACTTGCAGCAACTCGCGGTATGTACATCTCCCACCCGTAACCAATTCTGTGCCATGCAGCGATTGAGCAGATCTGGCTGGTTTGTGGGGTCCCAAGACAGAAGTGGACCACTTCATAAGTGCACAAATGACTGACCCCTATGACTCTTGGTGATCACTGAGGCACGGAGCCCGGGCATTGTCACAAGCGAACCCCAACCTTTGTCGCGGCTGCCTGGCAATGTGTAGGACTGTACTGCCACCACGCGGCAACATCTCTCTAGCCATCGCTAATTCTGCGCTATGTGGGGAGTGAGCTGACCCGAAGGGTGTAAGACTGAAGAGAACCACTCAAGAAATGTGTATGTTCTATCATCCAATGGCTCTCATGCATCAATGAATGCTATGCCTGAGTGACCTGGGACATTGCCACAGGTGAACCCCAACTTTCATTGCCTTGTGCCGAAATGTGTAGGACTGCACTTCCCTTGTGCGGCAACGTGTATCGCTAGCCATAGTCAATTCCATGCTGTGTAGAGAGCGAACCGATCCAAAGGGCGCGAGACCGAAGAGAGCTACCCAAGAAATGTGTATGTCCTATTATCCCATGGCTCTCGTGCATCATTGAATGCTAGGTCTGAGTGCCCTGGACAATGTCACAGGTGAACCCCAACTTTCAGCGCCTTGCGCTGAAATGTGTAGTACTGCACTGCCACCGCGCGGCAACGTCTGTCTAACCATAGTCAATTCTGCGCTGTGTAGAGAGCGAACCGATCCGAAGGGCGCGAGACCGAAGAGAGCTACCCAAGAAATGTGTATGTCCTATCATCCCATGGCCTTCATGCATTATTGAATGTTAGGTCTGAGTGCCCTGGACACTGCCATAGGTGAACCCCAATTTTCATCGTCTTTATGCTGAAATGTGTGGGACTGCCCTGTCTCCGCAAAACAACTTCTTCGGTCTTACCAATCACAGCCGATCCTGTGCCGTGTAGGAATGAGCCAAGTTTTCTGGTTTCAGGGTGCAAGGGGAACACTCCAGGGGTACACAATCTAACCTTCCCCCCAAGAATTGCATCGGGTTTGGGTGACCTAGGACATTGCTGGGAGTGAATCCCCCCAGATGGCTGCGTTTGGGCTACAATAGATAGGAGTATGCTGCCACCGCGCGGTAACATCCATTTCCCTGCACATATAATGGCTTCTATGCCTTCTGATAGTGAGCCATACTGATTGGTTTTGGGGTCCGGAGATCAAAGAGACCCTCGAGAAACACAAGTATTCCACCCTTTTATGACCTTTATCAAACCCCGAGGCATCGGTGGCCTTAGACATTGCTGCAGGCGAACCCTAGCTTTGGCCCCCGGACCTTGCCGCGGGTAAACCCCATCTTTGGCTGCCTCTGGGCTGCAATGTTTAAGATGACACTGTCACTGGGTGCGGCAGTTTAGGTCTTTTCACTCACAATTGCTTCCGTGCCATCTGGTATTGAGCCATATACACTGGTTTATATACTGCTTTATGGGATCTGAGACCCAAGAAGACCCTTTTGGAAATGCACAAGCACCCTGCCTTCTGATTACTCTTGTATGGAGGCTCCCAGGGACAGTACAACAGGTGAACCCCAAACTTTGCCATCTATAAGCTGTACCATGTGTAAAATTATGCTGCCACAAAATGACAACTTTGGGGCACTGCCACACCTGCAGCTGATTTGGGGCTCAACTGGTACCCAAGGCTTGAAATGGGGTTCTACAGCTCCCAAGCTTGTGGCTGAGCTCTGGTAATGGGAGAATGCTTAGTTTCCAAACTGTTTACAGCTGCGCTCCTGACTCATTAGCACCTGAACTGTCCAATTAGCATCTCAAAGCCCAAGTTGATGGCTTTGTTGGCTTTGCTATTGCTGAGAGAATCTGGGGGTGATCAGGGCTGGAGTGAAGTGTTCTGATTAAGGGGTTCCTTGGACAGAGATGTCAGATGTCAGTACCAAGATTCAGGATTTGAGGACTGTGGGGTTGGCACTAAGATAGATAGCTACAACACACTCTATGATCGCCACATGTTGTAGAAATGCCTTGATTTCCACACCACAACGCCGATAGCCTCGGAGCCCTAAAAGTCAGATGCCTGGTATGGCTCACAGGAAAATTCTATCAAGGACTCTCGTGAATCCCTGGCCTCATGAAGCCCGGGCCTGTGGGATCATAGATACCACTATGGGTGAACCCCAATCTCAGTCGCAGTCTGTTTTAGGACTACGATGTATGAGACTTCACTGCCACCACGCGGCAACCGCGGTCTTTACGTACAACTGATTCTTCACCGATCGTTAAGCGATGTTGGTTTGGGGGGTCCAAGACCACAGGGGGCCAGCCTAGAAATGCGCGTGTCCTATTCTTCTAATGACTTTTGTGATTCACCGAGGCACTAGACTTGGGTGAGCCAAGACATTGCCGCGTGTGGATGGATTCTAATACCGGGGGTCTTGACATTTGGAGCAAGAGAGCGTGCTGCCACCACGTGGCAACTTCATTCTCTACAGCTTGCAACAGATTCAGCAGGCACCCAAGAATAGGGCATAATCTCCTATGTCTGATGGAAGCCCATACGTATGTGTGGGTGCCCCTTTGGATTCTGGGCTTAAGCGCCCTGCAACTCACCCCCAGGACATGGGAACTGAATCTCTCCTTGCTTGCCAACCTTTTCCTTTTCTGTGGTGATTCAGGAAGCATAGGCAATGACTGTCTTCTTGACATCAGCCAGGCTGTGGGCAGCCCGTGTGCTCTCTGATCATTAGAACACATTCTTCATGGCACCATGGCCCTTTATCCTCTGTTGTGCTCCTCCTGGTATAGTCAAAGATCTTTGGGGTTGACTGCATCACATCCAACCACTAATGTGATGGAGGTTTTTACAGGAGAGCAGAAGGACTCCCTTGGGTGGGCTAAACTCCTAATGGTACATTTACATGTTTATAGGCTGGAACTAGAGCTCTACTTCCACATACAAGCTAGGTGCATCTTTGTCAATTCATGGACTTACTGGGGCTTGTACAATGAGTGGAGATTTGGGGG